GCATTTAAGCCGAGGTGGAACTGCATTTTGCTGTGGGTTGTGCCGAGGCAAAAACTGGTCATCATAACCCTGTGGGAGTGGACTGAAGAGTGTGAAGCGACTTTCAGGAAACTGAAGTATGCCCTAACACACTATGAGGTTCTTAAACTTCCGGATCCTGATAAGCCATTCGTAGTGACCACATACGCTAGCCAATATGGCATAGGCGCGGTCCTTGCGCAAAAGGAGGAGACCAAGTTGAGACCTATCGAGTACATGAGTAAAAATATGCCATCTCAGAAACTAGCCAAGTCCACTTATGAGCGTGAGCTCTATGCCCTGTATAGAGCGCTAGTACATTGGAGACACTACCTCCTTGGCAGATTCTTCTATGTGAGATCTGACCATGAGACCTTGCGCTGGACTAAGACACAGCCGGTACTCTCTGACACACTCAATCGATGGATTCAAGTGATAGACATGTATGACTATCAACTTGATCCAATCAAGGGAGAGTACAACAAGGTAGCTGCTGCATTGTCACATCGGGCAGATTACCTGGGCGCGCTAGTGACTGAATTTGGCATATCTAACGACTTAACTCGATCATTGGTGGAAGCCTATCATCAAGATCCAGTTATGTCTGAGATCATCCGTAGATTCCAAGCAAAGGACAAAAAAACTTTGGATGAATTTGCGATGGTAGACGACTTGCTGTTTCTTGAGAAGGCAGGGAATAAAAGATTGTGTGTTCCCAATAATGAGTCTTTGCGTAGTTTATTTTTAGGGGAATGTCACGATGCAACTGGACATTTTGGTTACAAAAAGACTTCAGCTAATCTAGTGCAGAAGTTCTGGTGGCCCACTATGATGCAAAATGCAAAAAGGTACGTAGAAACTTGTCAGGTTTGCCAAAGGGACAAACCCATGACTCAGGCTCCACTTGGGCTCATAAAGCCCTTGCCGATTCCTGAAGGTCCTGGTCAGAGTGTGTCCATGGATTTCATGGATACCCTTGTGACCAGCGGGTTTGGAAAAAGGCAAATCTTCGTGATAGTGGATTGCTTTCTAAGTATGCAAGACTTGTCGCTATGCCAGAAACTGCTAAAACCGACTATGTCATCAAACTGTTTCTGGATAACTGGGTCAGGGATTTTGGACTGCCTACGTCGATAGTAAGTGATAGGGATGTAAGGTTTACCAGCGAACTGTGGCAAACGACAGCTGAACAAATGGGAACCAAACTCCAAATGCCGTCAGGGACTGATCGGTAGATCCCTGATTCTCTAGTAATAAAAAATATAGTGTTGAGTGGCGTATGTTATAGGGCAACACTGTGGGGCCCGCATCGGAACACTGTAAACTCTTCGTAAAGACATCTAGTTGTCTATCTATGGAGGAACCAATATGAGCGAAAGTCATGTAATTAGTAGTGTGGCATGGGCGTCATTAACACAATCCAAGGGAAGGGGTGGGCTTGCAATCCTGGAGCAGCAAACCCAGCTGATGGTCCTTTCCTTTCCCTAGTGAAAGGATGCACTTTGGAATGGAAGAATATGTTGGTGGAAGGAGAGGAGTTTTGTGGCATGATTAAGGTGTTTACAAAGACCCAGCTGATGGTCCTTTCCTTTCCCTAGTGAGAGGATGCACTTTGGAACGGAAGAATCTCTTGGTGGAAGGAGAGGAGTTTTGTGGCGTGATTATGGCGTTTACAAAGAACGTGATTCAAGAGGAATGAGAAAAGTTTCACACAACTTTGATAAGATTACAAGATAAGAACAAATTCTCACGTGGCAATAGTGGGACAAGATTTGGACCCTACTGGCCACGGAGTCTAACTGGTCATGGGATTGGAGGGCCATACTATGTGAAGCATGTGCAAGGAAAATGAACAGAAGCGAGATGACAATATTCAGATTGCACAATCACATTGAAATCCAGATCGTATCACAGTGTTCAGAAAGTAGCATTGCACCAATATTACACCACTGGAGAATAGTAGCACTGAAAGCCAATGTCAATGAGAGCTTGCTCTCGCCACCACCAACATATGTACCCAGTCCCTATCCCTCTACTTGGCGCTCGACGCCCAGCCTACTCCCTACACAGCTACTACTAGCCTACTAATTGACAATGCAACTGTTGACGTCAGCAGCCTCCGAAGTACTTGAAGATGTCGCCCGTAGCAGACTATCGCCAATACCAGGTATGTTCCCTCACATCATCATCATCATCATCCTTCTCTCTCTCTTTCCCCTGACTCTCTCCCACATCTTCCCTGTATACACCCGAAGACCACCCCTGCACCTCACTGTACATCCAAGCCCTGCCAGCTATGGAGGCTGGGCTATGGCGCTGCCCTCAGCAGCGCCCTGCTCCCTGCACGACCGCACGTGCCTACACCTCGCCACTCAGCGCTAGCAGCAGCCCACGAGCTTCAGCTCCAGCAGCGCTGCCGCCAGCATGCGAGTGCCCGAATGTCTGGCCAGGCAGCGAGCTCTTTCCTATATGGAAAGAGCCTGCCTCGTTCGGCAGCCTGGCTGGACTGGCCTGGGCCCAGAAGCTTCCGGTAGGCCCCAGGATGCTGCGCCTCTAGTGCAGCTACTGGGAAAGTGGGGGTCCCCGTTAACCACTTGTGATGAGGCTGCGAATCTCGCCCAGGGCCTGTGCTTTCGGAAAGACCTAGAAGGCCTGGGAATTTCCACGCTGCTCGGCCTGTGTTTCCCTTCAACCAACTGGCAAGACGAAACTGCCTGGACCCCAAGTGCGAAATTGACAGCCAAGGGCCTCTCGTGATTTGTTAGGCCCGCCTTCACTTAGGGCGGGCACATATGCTGCAAGGGGCCCCTTAGGCCTGCCGAGGACCCATATCCTCGCATTCCCTCCTCCTGTACTTCGATAGTCCTCTGAGAAGTTTTCTATTTTGCAGGTATCTTCCCTTTAAGATCTCTTTCATAGCCTGCAATGACTTGAGGTGCAGTTCTCATGAGTTCTTCTCTAGTGAACCACCGATCTTCGCTGGGATCCAGATGATGTCTGAATCTGACCCGGTACTGCATTTTTGGCTTAGGAGGGCGGCCTCTGCCCAGTGGTCGAGGAACTGGCATCAGACGATGCTCCACGATCTGGTCTATATCCACTTCGCCATCCATGGTTGGGGACAGCATTGATCTCCTGGAGGGAAATTGATCTGTGGCAGCGAAAGGTGCCAACTTGGATGCATGGAAAACAGGGTAAGCGTTCAAGTGTGGAGGAATGCGAATCACATATGAGGGCCCATCCGGTTGATCCCCTACAATGTCTAAGATCTCCCAGGGCCCAAAGTATTGTGGCATCAGTTTTCGTGAAATCCCCATCTCCTGACCCAGTTCAGATGACTTCACCCAGACTCTATCACCTACCTGAAAGTTAGAGAGTCGTCTATGTTTATTCTCAGATGCGATCATAGCATCTTGAGATTTCCTAATATGTTCAACGGCCTACTGCAGCATCTATTCATACTTGACAGCAAACTCTATGCTGCCAAGTGCTGCAGTGGGTTGTCTTTCTGGTAGCAGAAAGTCTAGTGCACTTTTGGGCTTCCAACCAAGATGCAGCTGGTTGGGAGTCATACCAATAGTATTGTGCACAACATTGTTGTACAGGCTGGCGACGAGAGGTAACTTCTCGTCCCAGTCATCCTGACTGGCTTAATATAATGCCGAAGCAGGTGCTTTACTACCTGGTTCATCTGTTCTGCCTGGCCATTTGACTATCGATAATTCTTTCATTGTTGGGTTAATAATCCATTCAATCCATTTGAACTAACCTTGCCCAGATAATCGAAGCCAATTGAGAAAGATTCACCGCGCATTCGGGAATGGGAAGGGGTCTTAACAAACCAAGGGGTTGCTGCAGATGGATTCTTTTTGCTGCCAGACTTAACTTTCACCAAACTTCCGTGCAAATTTCTAGATATCAGGCCAATACACTTTATGGGTCAAACTTCCATACATCTTAAAAAACCCAAAGTGACCGCTATGAATAGCCTATTATCATGACATTCATCCAGCATTTTAGAGTGGATTGCCTGAGCATCAGGTACACACAGGCGATCACTTCTGCATATGGTTGGAACAACAAACCTTTACATGTGTGGAAATCAGGCTCGCTACTTGGGCCACCTTACAAGTGTTTAAGAGGCGACCAAAATTGCGGTCCGTATGAGTTCACACACAACGGATCGTCAAAGGTTTAAGAAGAGATCAAAAGGTTTAATCATTATATCAACTTTATCAAGCATTATCAACTATTTAAGCCTATATATATTATGTGTGTGTGTGTTTGTGTGCCATCTTCTTCCCTTGTTTGTCCTTCATCCGCTCCCCTTCTGCGGTCCTTATCTTCTTCTTCGCTCGTCTCTCTCTCTCTCTCTCTCTCTCTCTCTCTCTCTCTCTCTCTCTCTCTCTCTCTCTCTCTCTCTCTCTCTCTCTCTCTCTCGTCATGGACGGCATGGACGGCATCAGAGGTCTTGCAGGTGTGGACGGTGATTGCACACCTGAAGGAGGGACGAAGGCCCCCACAGTCATTTGTCATTTTTGAGGCTGGCCTTACAACAGAGCTTGCGATCACCCGTGCTAGAGTTGGATGTTCGCGGCCGTACCACGACTGTGGAGCGCGACTCATTGACACCACCTGTGCATCCGCATACTCAATCCACACCTCCTTCATCGCCGCTGAACATGCACCCACCTTCTGCTCCTGAAATCATGTCTCAACACGCTGGTGAACCTGACAAGCTCGATAGTGTGCGTTCGTCGTAACGTCACCGCAACAGGGGCCAACAAAGTCCGCATGTACTCGAAAGTGTTGTTGCGGGGTCGTGTACCACAGGCAGTGTCGCCACAAAACAGTGGTCGCCGGCTGCTGTAGCCGGCCTCGAACATCCGCAGCAGCAAGTGCTTGGAACAGCTGCCATGGAACCGCAAACGAGTCAAGCGATTCCGCAACACGGCACTGTACGTGCATCTATTGCAGGGTCAGCATATTTCTTGCCCATTGGCATGTTCTCCGAATGCCTGCTTTTGCGGCGTGGGATGTTCGCCCATGTTCCACGTTCTTCTCGTGGACATGTTGCTGCCCCACCATTGTCGCAGGACCGATGCCAAGCACAGGTCGCAGCAGAACAGACATATCCTCCGCAGCCAGACCCTTCTTCGTCTAGACCCTTTCTACCTGGCTACAATGGTAAGTACTCCCGGTTCAGAAGCACATGCCCCCTCCTGCTGAGGATGTCGGGGTTGCGGTTGGAGAGTCATCCAAAGCTGGACGAGGTGGTGGTTCAACATCTAGTGGAGGTCGTCGCAAGTTGAGGCCATCAGATGATAACAAACTGGTGCGACTAGAACCTTATGTGAAGCAGCAAGTGGCGGACTTATGTGATACTTTCCCCGGAAAGTCCATGAGCTATGTCATTGAGACCCTCCTTTATTGGTCGTCAAACAAGATTCGCAAACACATGGACACATATGCTGGCACGCACGCGACTGCTCCTCCGCAATCAAGCAGTAAACCTAGCAGTGCAGTTCGACAAGAGCCTGGTATACCGTGGACTGATGGGTCGGCCACACGTCATCCGACTGGTCCTATGTCTGAAGCTGAGCGTAGTACTGCGAAGGGTACCGTGAAGGGTACAAGGAGCAAATGGAGTGCGCCTGATTGTCTCAACATTGTTCCAGTGGAGCCTGTGAAGTTGTTGCAGTTGTTTGGTTTGTTCGATCTCAGATGCCCTCTTCACGGCAGGGAAGCGGATGCTCCTGCTTGACCCTGTACATTGAAGTTGGCCTGTCGGCATGGTTGCACAGGACATGGCATTCTTGCCAAGGGAATGGTAAGGTGATAGGAACTCGTGCGGGAACTCAGTTGTACCAGTCTGCTGTGTCACACAGATTCAGTGCATGTATTCAGTGTGTGTATACATTTGAAATTTAGTGGGCACAGACATTGTAAATAATGACAGAGCTGATTAAAAATGAATGTAGAGACAAAGGATGTATGAGAAGTGGATATAATACATAACGGATATAGGCCAGGTGGATATACTTGTAATCAATATAGGCGAAGTAAATGTATGCGTAATGGATTATACAAAGTGGATTTACATGTCACGGATAGATGCAAAGTTGGTGTGGGCGTTTGGCATGCCATTGCGACCTGTTAGATATAACGAGAGGCTTAGTGAAGAGTCTGCAAATGCACAACTGCAGAGCAAAACGTGCAATAGAAATACTGGAAGGTGTTGTTGATCAAATCTGTAACGAAGAACGAAGCATCGAACCTTGGCGTGCATTTTCCTTCGTGCGTCAACTTTCTGCATTTGCTTTGCGCATCTTCACAATCCTTCTATGCCCAATTGTCATGACAGGAAACTGTTTGGGGGCTATGCCGCCATGGGGCTGCTTCTCTGTGTGGGTCGGTCTGTGTGATCAAAGAATGCTCCAGCCTTCAGTAGAGCACAAGTTATGGTAAGCAGACTGCTGCCTTGTCACAGGGTTTGTCCATCTCTCTCTCGTGATGCTTTCTCATTTTTGAGACAGTGTACCGAGGGCATTCTCAAACTGGCACTTTCCTGAAGGTATCTGACCACATTGCTGCCGGACCTGGATGAATCTGACCACAATCACATCCAGAGCTTAGTAGAAAAAGTACTAGTGTGGGTATGCCCTGTATCATTCCAATTTTAAACAGATGTCCCGAAGGACACGGCTGCTCTATTAATCTGTTTTTCCATTTGCCATTTTATTTTTCTTGTTCTGTTTCTTGTTCTTGTTCTGTTTTGTTGCACTTTCTGATATGTCGTTGTTGGGTTGTTGCTGTGCTAGTTTCTGGGTCCTGCATTTTTTTTGCTGAAAATGTGGGAACCCCCTCCTTTTGATTGCCCTCTTGTCGGATGTTTGCGTGCTGAAATATTGGCATGTGGGGGCTGGGTAAGGGACTGACAAGACTGCTGAATCAGGAAGAGAGGCATGGAGGGGCGAGGAGCCGGGGGGGGAAGCGGGACATGTACGAGACAGGTAAATGCTGGGGCGATTGTGAGCAATCTCCTCTCTGAGAGAGAGAGAGAGAGAGAGAGAGAGAGAGAGAGAGAGAGAGAGAGAGAGAGAGAGAGAGAGAGAGAGAGAGAGAGAGAGAGAGAGAGNGAGAGAGAGAGAGAGAGAGAGAGAGAGAGAGAGAGAGAGAGAGAGAGAGAGAGAGAGAGAGAGAGAGAGAGAGAGAGAGAGTTTACAAGAATGAGAACTGTGGACAGATACTGGCGGAATAGTATTGGAATCTTTCGAGTGATGTCTCCAAGCCTGGCGAGCTTGCTTTGCTAAGGTCTTTGTTTGCCTGGTACGCTACCTTCACACCCAGTGTTCTCCAGATGCCATCCAATTTTCAGTTCGCCTGTTTGAGTTGAGAGTTTTTTGTCCTTTTTGAGTGGAGGTGAGTCTTCCTCCAAAGAATAAGAAGCAGTGGGGATGGATGCAAGAGATGGACAGGCAACACAATGCATCAAGAACTGGCGAAGGTGGTGTTGGCCCTGCAGATAGCCAAACACAGGTACCAGTGAGCAATTTGTTGGAGATGGCTACGCCGTCTGAAGTGGATGTTCTTTATGCAGATGAGGAGCTGATAAGATTTAAGGATGAGATGCGCCGAGCGGAGATGGAGGCAGAAGCTGCAGAATGGACTGGAAAAAGGACACGGGAAGGTGGAAAGAAAGGAGATGGAGTGGCAGCAGAAAGTCGTGGAGAGGATGAGGAAGGAGAAGAGGAAGCACATGATCAGGAACGCTGTGGCAACAACCCTCTGGATGGAGAAGATATGTTTCTGGATGACGATGGGACGGTCTACAACTGGGATCGTTCGGCAAGGCTATGGGTTCATCAGTCTGAGGACACTCCAGTCTATCGGTCGGAGAATAAGGTTTATGCCGCCGAGGAAGAAGTGATGCTGAGCTCGACGCTGGCCGACGATGGTCAATTGACAGTCCCTGAGCCGATGGGCACTGGCCCGGAGCCGGGGAACTTGAAAGCGAGTGATGAGGGGGCAAAGTCAAAGGCGAGCGATGGAGTGTCAATGGGATTGTTGAAGAACAAGCAGCAGCAACAGGATGGGTGGTTTGAAATTTGAATTGAAATTTGAAAGTGAACACAATGTCTACATGACGGGATTGCCGCTAGATGCCACAGTAGAGGAGGTTGCTGAAGTCTTCTGTAAACGTGGACTCATAAAGGAGGATCCAGAATCGAACAAGCCACACATCAAGCTGTATGTGAACAAGGACACTGGAGTGACTGGACGACAGAGAGGCGACGGCCTGGTTACATACCTTTGCAAACCATCAGTGGAGCTTGGCAGCTTGCACTGAAGATTCTTGATGGGACACCTTTAAGAGTGGGAAGCAACCTGTTGATGTCGGTCCCGCAAGTGAAGTTTGAGCAGAAAGATGACGCGTTTGTGAAGAAACCTGGGGTCAACAAGAGAAAGAAAATGAAAATCTAGAATCAGGAAGAGAAGTCCCTTGGTTGGTTCAGTTTCAATGATCAACCGAGAACGAAGGGAATGACTGCCATCTTGTGAAATATGTTTTCTGTCGATGAGCTAGCTGCCAATCTCTCCGTGATCTCAGACATAGAGAGTGTCACTGATGTCTCTGTCGAGTGCCACAAGCTGGGCGCTGCTCAACACGTCAAGGTGTATGAGAAGCATCCGGAAGGAGTTATCTTGATTAAGTTGTCCGGTAAGCAGACAGGAATCAAATGCATCCAGCTGATGAATGGTAGATGGTTTGGGGGACGGCAGGTGCATGCAAGGGAAGATGATGGTCTTACCAATTATTATGGGTTGGTGCGGGAGTCTTTTGAAGCAGAGCAGGTGAGTTCAGCGAAATTCAACACTGTGCTAGAAGCAGATTAACAAAGCGATGCTGCTGGGCGGCTTTCAACAATTCCTCGCCATCCCAGTGAGGAGGGAAAACAGCAAGAGCAGGCGGGGTTAGAGAAATTCAAAACTGTGCTGGAAACTAGGTTACCAGGGTGGATGTCAAGGCCCCTTGTGGATGTCCGGGATGTGCGGCCGGACACTTGCCCGACCATCTGCCCGGACACGAGTATGTCCGGGCTAGCGCAAATTCGCCAATTTCTGAACAAAAATAAAAAAGTTGAAAAAACTCAAAAAGACTTCAGAAAAAAATTGTAAAGAAAAAGTTGTATACTATATACTACCAAGTTACCAACACAAACATGTCTTGGCTGAGGGTCCTCTCCAGATTCGAAACAGATCAGACGATAAAAATAAAAACGAAAAAAACTCGAAAAAAGTGAAAACAAAACTAGATGTAATAAAATTAAATAAATATTAATCACATTGACCCCTTTAGACTCCTCCGACTTGTGTGTGTGTGTGTGTGTGCGAGTGGGTGTGTGTAAGGTCATTTGTGCTCCTACTTGTTGTCTTGTTTTCCTTTTCTCTCTTAGAACTTACAAAGAGCAGCAACTGCTGATTCTGCTGCTGCTTCTACTGCAGCTCCTCCTCCAGCAGCTGGTGCCACATATGGTGCTGCACCTGCTGCAGGTGCTACTGTAGGTGCTCCTGTACGTCTTCCTGCACCTGCTGCAGCTGCCTGCATCAGACTGCAGTTTTTTCTTTTTCCGCCAATTTCCCCCATATTTTTCCTGGGTATCCCCATAGGTGCCACGTGTCAGAAGACACGTGTCACCTGCCAAATGTGGGATCCCAGACAACTGGGGTCCCAGACATCCGGCCCAGATGTCTGGGCCAAGCGTCCGGCATTGGACACTTGGTAACATAGGCTGGAAGCAGATTAAGAAAGCAAGCCTGTGATTGCTCGCCATCCCACAGAGGAAGGGAAAAACAGTGATGCACTTTCTCCTTTTTTGGCGACTGTTCAAAATTTGTCTGTCAATGCTTGTTGCATAAAAAAAAAGCTCAGCCAGGATGTGCGGCTCTACGTTGTAACTCACAAATCCTGTTTTCTTCGAACTTTTCTGATGATCAGATTTTTCTGAAATTTCCCCCCCCCGCACTGTTCTATTCAATCTATTGTACATCTGAAGTTGCACATGTAAAATGTGTTATTTCAACTTATTTGGAAAACAATGGCTGGCATAGGTATACCTTTCTCGGCCTTTTGGCTAAGATCAATTGTAGCAGCTGTTCTGAATCTCTGATCAGTTAAATATCTGATCTGTGGTCCATCGAAAGAAGAAGAAGACGAAGACGAAGACGACGATGACGACGACGACGAAGACGACGATGACGACGACGACGATGACGAAGAAGAAGAAGAAGAAGAAGAAGAAGAAGAAGAAGAAGAAGGCTGACGTAGGTGACTTCATATAAGAGAACAGAGAGAGGATGCAGATTGACTTTGCGGAGAAGTTGTCTGCCTGAGAGGCAATACGGTGCGAGATACATGAAGTGGGTAGGGGTTTATGCAGGACACTTTTAGGAATGAGATCATGGGCCTCGCTCCACAGCACAACATCGAAAATGCAACTGGAGGTGGAAAATGATCCCAGTACATTGAAACATGCTCGACAAGTTGAAACACATCTGGTGCATGAAACAGTTCAGATGCGCGTCGAATGTTGAGTAGTGGCGCGAACCCCATGTGGCTGAGATTGTGCATATTAATTGTTTATTGTCGCAGCTTTTCGCAAGACTGAAAAGACATTGCTGCATGCAGCCAGATATGGACTGACTTTTTGCTGATGCTGTCTTCCGATTCTGGATGGCTTTGTCAGTCTGTTTCAAACTTTCTCTCTCCTTTGAAATATGTCCTCTCCTCCTTTGACACATCCCTGCTTTCTCTGTTGTAATGGAGTTTTCCTGAAACGGAGGATTCTGTGTGGTCAGAGATTACTTGTCTGACGTGGTAATGAGTTGTACTGCCACACAGAAGCCTCCGCTTCAGAATTCATCTCTGCTGCTGTCCTATGCCCTGTACTAGAACGCCTGGTCTGTATAGCGGTTTTCTTTCGGGGAAGAGGTTAGTGATAGATACACACTGCTACATGTTGACTGATGATGGGTTAAGGGATCAACAGGTGTTCGATGCAGGTGAGCAGGCCGTCCGAACGAAATGCCCGACCTGCTTGACCCTGGGCGCGCCGGATGTGTGAGAAAAGGCTGTGGAGAGGTATCCAATCCGTTCGGTATCAAGATCGTCAGAATCAGGGTTGTATGGCAGCTGACGGCTGGTTGGTAGTGCCAGCTGGTCAGCAGACCGCCAGTTGGTCGGCAGCAGCCTACAAGCTGAGTTCGGAAAAAAAAAAAAAAAAAAAAAAACACGAAGGCATTTGGGCGTTCGGGGGGAGAGGGGGTTACTACTGGAAGACTAATGAAACCACCTTCCCATCCAGACGTATATTGACAAACCAAAAGTTGCATTTCCCCGAGCCTAAAATCCAGAGTGCCGCTATGAGGAAAGTTTATTGTGGCACCCTTGGCCCTCCGAACCTCTCTCGGGCCTGGGCACTGTAGATTGTGGCCCGGTACTTGTAGACAAGAAAAACGAACAGTGCAGGGGCCTGCATGGGTCCTGGGGACCATCTCACGCAAATGTGTACATGTCATGCATCATGTTCACACGCAGTGATCAATAGTCTCAACCATAGACAAAGGTAGAGAGGAAGGGGACCGAGTTTCACAGCTTATATTATCAGAAATATGAATACAAAGTGCTTCAAAGTTCCCTGAGTCCAGCGCCCATCAGCGCAACACCAATCTCTTGTCAACTCATCAATATGACTTCCAGTGAATCAGCGCTACTCTTGCAGATAGTCTCCAAGTCATCAATGTGGTCACTACTCATCAGCGCCACCTCTGCAGGTCACATCCAACCCAGGTAAGTATCTTCCATAGCCGAACCTTGAATGAACACTCTCAGCCTCAGTCCCTTCCTCCTACGATGCATACACACTCTTCACTCATGAGGATCTACTCTGGATACTACTCATAGCTACATACTAACCCTCTATTACTAATGCTAACTCGCTGGGCAGCTATGGCTGCATCACTTCCAGCGTACAGGCTTCTTCCTCCCTCCTTCAGTGCATCTTCTACCTCCAGCGCTGCTCCTCCTGACTCAGCGCACAAGTGCACCAGCACTTCCACGCATTGCAGCCAGTGGAGATCTGGCGAGGAATGAGGCAGGCAGCTCCCTTTATAGTSYTGGCCACTCCTCDCTGGGTCTGCATTGGCTCAATTCGGCCTTTCCTTTGTCCCAGACCCTGCATTGCATGTGTCCCARTAYAGTCCCAATGAAGTTCAACTGCTGCTGAGGCCTCTTGGCCTGGATTTGGACTTGAAAGTCTGGATCTGGACTGACTCCTTGACTTAAGCCAGAACTGGGACTGTGCCTATTGACTTTACTTTMGGACAGGCACAACTCTAAACGAACAGACACAGTTACTGCTTGAACARACACTTTCCTTTGCACGAACAGGTACACTGCCTGCACGTACAGACACACTCTTACCCGGACAGACATGACATACACATCTCCTGGTGAAMAGGTAAGTCYTTTGACAAKGCCCTTTGCCTTAGATTTAGATGTGCCTGTTGACAGAGAACTTGACCTTTGACCTGCTTTCACGTTTCTGAGCCCTGGCGAGATACCTTTTCACAATGCTTTACTTTTACAAGGTCCGTGCTGTTTTTCTTTTACAAGGCCTGAGGCCTATATCGGGCAAAGGCCCTTTTAGGCCGTTGGAGTGATGGTTTAATGAGAATAGCTTGATTCTCCAAAGATTTCACCGTTGAACATCAAACGTAGCTTCTTTCAGAGGATAGTCCGTATCTTGATTCTATAAACATTTCAATGTTGAAAATTAAAAATTAAACTGTAAAATTTGCAACCGAATTTCCAAAAGAAAATTTCTTCCTACTAACAGCGATAAACAGAGAAGAAGCAGCCGAAGAAGAGAACAGTCAGATACTAGAACTTTTCAGAAAAAACACAATATGGATCATATGGAGAGCGAGATGCATGGAAACCATAGGGAAGAAGAGGATATCGGAAAACGAATCATGGGAAGAAGCTAGAGAACGGATGGAAACAGAAATAAGAATAGAATGGCATAAAACATTAAATAAGATGGATAAAGAGGACAGAGACAGCAAGAAAAACATAATCCAGAAAGAATTCGTGGAGAGATGGTCAAGGAAGGGGTTAATCGCAACAGTTTCAGAAAAAGCAATACGATTCACAAACTGGTGGAAGCAAAACGACACAAATCAAACAGTAGAAAATGAGCAAAGCACACCGATGGAACTAGAGGAGTAGAAAAAGAAAAAGTCAAACTTTGAAGCGAAACTCAACCAAAAAACAAGTCAGTGAAGAAGAGGAAAAKACAGAAACCCATTACAGACCCTARATACCCACCCCYCCGGGCAATTCCCTTCCATCAATGTTCCCCCCCCACTTYACAACACATCCTTCTTGTTCCTAAACTAACTTCACCACCCACAGGGCSAAGACATGGAAGCTGCTACAGTTTTGGTGCAGAGTGCGACGCCAAGGTTCAATCCCAACGAGGAGCACAACAGAAATGGAGGAGGCCTATACTACCAAAAAAGGAAGGTGGGAGGAGAAAGGAGCTCAACACAGCAGGCGGGACAGTTCTAGCAAAWCCTAATACAAAATTGAGTTTCGGCCCTTATAGCTCCCAAAGGGCATTGGAGGAASAGAGAGGCAAGCAAGAAAGACCARGMGGGATAGWATCACCACAAAATGGGAGAGAAGGAGGA